CAAAGAGGTCCGTTCCCGTGATCCTTGCCTTCCGCCCTGCAATAGACGCTGTAGTCCTGGCCGCATTTCCCGATGATGGCCACAAGCAGGTGCAGCTGGCGCTGGTAAGCTCCGAGAGCTCCCGACCGCTGCGAAGGCCGAGCCGCTAGCGTTCCTCCTGCCCCCTCCTCGCCGTTGCTGACCTCCGCTCGAAGTCGGGCCAGCTTGGATCTGGCCTCGCCCGCGCCTGACTTGCGCCGGCCAAAATGGGCCATGGGCCGATCTGGCGCCGCCGCTGCCTCCACCGCCAACAACGGGAAGCAAGTCGAAGCAAGATCGCACGCGAAGCAGTAGCTGCGGCGAATATTCGACTTGATCCGCACAGAACGGGCAAACGAACGACGACACTGAGTTTGGCCGAAAGGTCAGACCGCCAGAAGCAACGCACACTCCTGCCCCAAAGCTCTGGGCATGGCGCTCCCGCGCTGAATTACGCAACTCGAACAAGCCGGCACCAACGAAGCACTGATTAGAATTAGATTGGGCATGTCCTCCTACAATGCTAGAAATTTGCTTTAAAAAAATGCTACAGATGTGCTAAAACATGAAAGTGTGCTAAAAATACTGAAACAGTCAGACATCGTCGAAAGATCGTCCCCATGCTACTCTTTGACTATTCTTGAACAATCCTCCTGTAAGGGGACATGCCCGACTTACGACTACATAGAACGAACTGACTGCCTGGCCTTGCACAACACGGGACCCGCCGTGACTTTGCGCGGTTGGCCAGGAACGGCGTCGAAAACCCCGGGGCGCCCGATCTGCAGCAGCCCCCTTGCGGGCGAGAGCCGGCGACGAGGCCCGAAAGCTAAGGGCCGGGGGCGGCCAAGAGAGGGGCGCCCAAGAGGGCGGGGCGCAAATCATGGCCAGCAGCACGTGCGCGGAGTGAAATAAGAAGAGGCGCCACGAAATCTGAGGGAGTATCATGGCCCACGCCATGATATCCACCCCCCCCTAGTCAGCACCCCCCTCTTGGCCGCCACCGAAAAAGGGGGAGAAAGACCCCAAGCCACATTGCCCGCTGATGAGCTCCGGCGAAGTGGAGAGGCAGAGGGGGCAGAGTCAAACTCTGCGGTGATCTCACACTCGGCGCCAGCGAAGTCCTGGAGCGACACGGCGTCTTCCACGAATCGACGATCCCACGGACAAGCATGCTGAGAGCTGCCCGTCCAAATTCAAGGTGCCAACCCCACGCGCCTCCTCCACCCGCATGGAGCCGAGCAGCGCCCCCAATGATGCGGCGTGCTTGCGCGGTGCTTTCACCTGCGCCTAATATCACAGGACACGTCGCGCTCGATCTTCAACGCCGAGGAGGCGCGCGCGATTCCCCACTGCCGAACACGTCGTCGTTCGACGCGGACATCCAGGAATACTCGCGACTGCAATTTCCCAGCGCAGACCTCCGAAGAGGCGAAGGGCCCGAGACCAGAAAGGGCAGGGCCAGTTTTTTAACAAAGGGCGGACGTGGTTGATACCGATAGCTGCCCATGGCCGCAAATCCAGCAACGACAGCATCCGATCGACACGGTAACCCGCTGTTGAACATCGCGCCTGCCCTGGCATTTCCACCAAGTATTTGGCTCGGTCAAGCGCTCGGACTGCCAGGGATAGCTAGCAACGGCGAAATCGATTACGACTCTACGTTAAAAATCCCGGCAAAAGACTACCACCGCTGTCCCGTTCTTGCGCGAGTTGATACCGGTATTTCGTTTCCTCGCGCATCCCGCGAGCGCGCCTTTTTTTTTTCCATGCTCGGGCCATACGCACGCGGCTCTGGCCAGTCACCCTCCAGGTGGGGTGGCCCGACGGTGCCTGGGCGCGCCGAATGGCGGGGACCCAGGACAGAGACCGTCAGGCGGGTTGCCCCTCGCAAGCACGCAGCACCGCCGAGATGGCGGTGGGGCTTGGACGGGGGCTTAGTCCGACTCGTCCTCGCCGAAACCCACAGGAGGGATGAGCGGTTCCCCATCCTCCTCTTGGCGCCTGCTGGAGTGCTGCTGGCGCGCTCGTCCTGCCTCGGACCGCTGTGGGCGAGGCGCAGGGCGTGGGGTCGGCTGGCTCGGGAGCGGCATCGCAGCGCGCGCTGCTGCTTTCTCTCTCTGCGCGCGCTGCTGCCTTTGAATTTCTGCGGTATTGTACCGCTCGGACTCTGAAGCAAAAAGGCGCAATGTGGGATGCTTGCCATCCAATAGACGATTTCTCACATTCGCACGTCCGCCACTCTTGGGAGGCCGTCCAGGACAGGTGGCGGGCAAACCTCTGAAAGCATACTGGGCATAGCGCCCACAGACTAAACAAAAGACAACTGGCACGGCAAAATGCGCGATTGCCATCTGGTGGCTGGCATGGATAGCTTCTAGGCCGCGCCTGAATGCGCTGGCCAGTGGCTGGCATGCCTGCCTCTCACGTGCGACAGCGGCCTTATAGGATCGGGCGTACGTAAAACATGCTCTGCACCTGTACGGTATCGGCCCCTGAAGAACCTCCCAGTCGTGCACGACGATGGTGGCCTGAACCTTACAGGGCAGAGCGGCTCTCTCGCTCTTGTGCCTATTGCGCTGGCACAAGGCAAGAACTCTGGGTGCATATAAACCAATCGCTCGAGCGGCCTCGATCTTGCGTTGCAGCTCCTGCAGCGCTGTCGGGTTGAAACTTGGGTGACAGTCCACAACCACCTTCGCCATCTTGTCCGCTGCAGCATTGATCTCCGCAGCAAGTCTGGCCTCTCCAGCCAATGAATGCATATCCTGATGGCTCTTGACCTTAGAGGCCGTCTCGAGATGATGTCTGCTGTCCCGCGCAAGCGCAAGCTTGTGCAGGCCTGAATACTTAAGCTTACTGCTGAGACGTGTCGGCAGTGGCCTAGCGTGCTGGTCGAGGACCGCTTTGCAGTCCACCCAGGTCTTCGAGGGTTTGGTGAGGGTCTCCTGGAGAACCAGGAAGCCCATGTGCTCCCCAGCCTGAGAAGTCTGGGGAAGGTTCGCAGCAACAGCGCCATAAAAGGAGGCCTCTGGGGCCCCGTCGGTACTGTAAGCCACTACCGAGAACGTCGCTCTGTATAGCTCCGCTATGCCTGTCTTGGTGCACGACCCGTCGGTTCCCGTGAGCCCCCCGAAGTGCGGTACCGTGTCTGGCTGACCGTCGTGTCTGACGAATCGAACGATGGGCTTCTCTCTGGGCAGCGGAAAATCATCATGCTGTTCCCCTGGGTGCTCGAAGAGACCGAAGCAGTACAGGGGGCTATTCTCTGGCGCCTCCAGCGCGGCCTGCAGCACGTCTGGCGGCAGCAGCTCGGCCCTGAGGGCAACTACCTCTGGATGCTGACAAGAAAAGAGACGATGGTGCATGGTGTCCCCGAAGACTTTACAGAGCGGGCACTCGTTAGGCACGTCGTAGCCTAGCTGAGCGAGTTTTTCTTCGGTCCACCATCCCTGGACCACAAGGGTTTGGAGAATGGCCTTAAACCTGGGGGGGAGCTTCTTGCTTTTGGGGGAAAGCAAGGCACGAACAACGTCAAAACACACCCTCTTCATGGGGGTTGGGCTGGGTATGCTCTTAGCTGCAATCGTTTCCCATCTCCTCTGGCATCCTCGGTGCAGCAAGTCGGAAAGCAGGCTCGGCGAGGTGTCAGTGAGCCTGACCGTCCTGCCAAAGTGGTCCTGCAGCGTGAAAGCGGATGTGAAACTCCAGCCAATTCGGTGAAGCGCATGGGCCGCCGCACTGAGTGGTCCTCGCACGGCGTTATAACACAATTGTCCTGTTGGCTGCACGTTGTTATAAATCTGCTTGAGCTCGAGAAGTCCGAGGGTCCCTGGGGTCACGTATTTGCCAAGGGTGGTGTTCCACACTTCCTGGGCCCACCTGAGGACAGGCCCTAAGGCCCAACGGTCGGCCCTGGACCCCGTGAGGGCGAAGGCCGCACTCCTGGATTTCTTGGAGGAGCAAGGGGTAATTTGCGCAATCTCCAGAGACTGCAGCATATACAAGGACTTGTTGCTGAGGCCGTCAACGGCGGCCCCGAAGGCCCCAGCTGGGAGGAGCCCAGTGGTGACAATCTTGCGACATCTTTGGCCAGCGGTAGCAGTTAGCTTACGCAGGCGTTGCCCTCTGACCACCGCGGTCCTGAGCCTGACCTTGCGCTTGGCGGCAGCGCCGTTGCAACCGAAAGACTTACCAGCAGTAAAATCGCAACCTAAGTTAGTGGCGACCGCTTGGAGCTTGCCCCCCGAGGCCCCAAGGGCCGACGTGAGGAGCCTGGCTAACGACACCGACGACGCAACGACCGCTCCTTTGTGAACCGCTATCCTGGCTTCTAGGTCTATCTCGATGAGACGGGCAAGCTCCTTGGCGGCACTGACAACACGCTTGAGCACCCTGACCGTGGTGCCGTGACAGGTGATGGACAGGTCATCCAAATAGAAATCGAAATAGACAGCCGAGTGCAGCGAAGTAATTCGCAGGAAAGCGTCAAAACAATAGATCCTGACATAAAGGATGCAGAAATAACAGCCCGCCACTATGCCGTTGGTGGCCGCTATAGGCTGAGCCACACAGCGCTTCCACGCTATGTGCCTCCACGAGCCGTAACCTGCAAGGTGATACGCGAGCAGAGTCTCAGGAAAACCTAATGCGAGCGCTCGAGCCCGCAATTTGTTGCGCTTGAAGCGCTCGAAGAAAGCCTCCATATCCCAGAGAACACCAGCAGAGGCCCCTCCGCCCGAGACGGCCCCTTCAGCTCTGAGACTCTGCCGCCATACCACGTCGACTGGTGATCTGCCTGCGCCGCAGGCAAACCAAGAGTAGTCGTGCTTAGCTGTCCAGTCCTGGGCGAAATGCAAGCGCAGCTTGCCTGTGATTCTGTACATCATGGGAAAGATGCCGATGGGCCTGTAGCCGCCAGTGACTTTGCGGAGGAGCGCCACGAGGACCCACTGGAGCTGCCCTGGAAGCTCCCCTAGTACCTCGGAGATGTAGATGAGTCTGGCAAAGGCCTCAAGGGCCTCATCAGATAACATACTAAGGTGCCTCATGTGGAACCCGTCGAGGGAGACGGCCGAGGACTTGGAGTAACTCTTGGAGAGGTCCCTGAGAGCTTCTACTGAGGGGATCCCGATGGGCTCGTGGAGGTTGTTGTCCCTGTGGAGGGGCTCGACCGAGGGCTCCCAAAAGTTCCCGAACTTGGCCTTGTAGGTGTCCAGGGTGCCCTGTATGGAGGCTGTGAGCTTACCCTCGATGACCACCGTGTCAGGCTCCCATTTGGTACGCTCCTTAATGAACTTGTGTGCGGCCTTGGCCCCCTTGTCGAGGGCCTTGTCTACCCACTCCTTCCAAGAGCTGGCGTTGGCTGACCGCACATCTGAAATGACCTTCTTGGCGCATGCGTCAGCTCTGGCCTTGAACGAGAGCAGCTGCGCGACCGTGGCAGCTATCTTGCTGCAACAAAAAGCTTCGGCCTCGAAATCAGCGTGCAAGGGCATGATATAATGCTGTATATCTTTGATGAGCGTGCGCGTGCACTCGTTCTGCATCACATGCTGCGGCTTGGCACGCACCACACGGGAAATAAGATCGAATACTGCTGGCCTAGATTCTCTGCCAATCACCTTCCCCACATTCCTTTCCTCCTCCTCATCCAAGTAGCAAACGAGGCGGTGCATGCGTGTGGCAATCCAGCTCGGCGCTGTGGGGAGGAGACCGTACTGCTTGTGAGCTCTCTCGTTCTTGGTGACTGCTCTGAGTACTGGCTGGGGGGCTCTCGCTCTCAAGCCTAACGACTTGCGCTCGCGAATCTTGGCGGCCGTCCACTGCGCTAGCTCGAGCTCGGCGGCGCTGGCCCAGTGCGCGTAGGCCGAGGCGAAGCCTTCTCGCAACACTGCCTTGTGACGGTGGCCTAAAGCAGAGATAAGCCTACTTACGCGGTCTAAAACTTTATCCCAAGAAACGGTGCTAGGATGCACGATATCCTCATCCTCCTCATCCCTGTCGAATGAGGAGGGGAGGGCGGGTATCGCGGGGAATTGAAGGACCTTGGCCTCTCCAAAATCTGGCGGCAGATCCAGCACAACAGGGAAGTGCGGCCTAGCATCCCAGTCGAAATCGACGTCAATGTCTCGCACAGCGTTGGCAAGCTGCTGCTCAACAATGAACATGTCTATGACTGAACCGCTGGCTGTGCAGGTGCCCATCGAGCAAACCGGCGCGAAGAGCTGACCCTTGATATAATTGCAGAACTCCGAATGCTCAAGCTGGTCCTGAGTAATATTGAAGTCTCCTGCTATGATGTACTGCAGCCCCGAAACCTTGACCAGATCGGCTATGGCCTCGAGGATGGCGACATTGTCTGGCGAGAGTCCCTGACTCACGTGCCCATACAAAGCTAGACAGAGGATGCCCGAGGTCTGGGGGAACTCCACAACGACTCCAATGACTCGGTGTGGCACCAAAATACCTCCAGGGGGCCCCACGGGTTCCTCCAGAGTGTAGCACCCAAGATCGTCGGCCACGAAGATGGCGACCCCAGCTGACGAACCTACATCCCCTAAACCGTTCGTTGAGGGGGCAAAAGAGGCAGTGGCAACCGACGGGGCCCAAAAACTCTTCCAGCCGTGCCTAGTGGCCCAGTCTGAGGCCTCGGCAATGCTTAAATCTGACACAAGGTGCACCTCCTGAGCAAACAAAACTTTGGTGGGTCCCCACGCAAGCTCGAGGAGGCGCTTCTTGAGGGAGCCCCAAGAGGACCCATTGAAAGACTCAAAACGGGTGCATTGAGGAGAGGAGGAGTGAGGAGAAGTAGGAAAGGCCTTCCCAGCACTGGCATATGCTGGTGAGGCCGCTGGCGAAACTGGCTGGCAGTCAGCTTCAGTCCAAGAGGCACCGCACGTCACTGTAGCACGGCGCTCTGTCGATGCTGTTGATAGGGTCGACTTGGGGCCGTTACCCATACGGGCGGTGGCCGCGACCGCTGCCAGTTCCCTTGCTCGATGGTCCGCCCAGCTGGCGCGCGGCTGCGGCCTGCTGGTCCTGGTACGTCGCTCGGGCCTTCTGCAGGGCTTCGAGCTCCTTCTTCGGCAGGTGCTTAGCAAGGGATTCCATCTCGGCCTTGAAAAACTCAGAATCAAAAATCGGTGTGTCCGTAATCGATGCTGCTGGCTGTGGCGGCGGTGCTGCCTTCTCAGGCAGGGCCCCCACCATGCTGGCCATGTCGTTGATGAATTTGAGGATGTCTGCATTGCCTGCAAACTTAGTCTTGGCCTCCGCGATCTTGGCCTTGGATGTCTTGGTGAACTCCGCAAGCGATCCAGGACCTTCATCTGGGGCAGTGTCTGCCCAGACTGACTTGGCGTCCTGCTCCTCACGCTGCTGGTCGTCCTGGGCCTGCTCGAGACGTTTCTTCTGCTCGTCGATGGACTGGATTGTGGCGTCGAGCTGCAGCTGCAGCTCCTGCTTGGTCTTCTCCAGCTCTGATATCTGGTGCTTGATCTTCTCGACCTTCTCGGCCGCGCGCTGCACACGGGTGTGGCAGCGCGCCATGCGCTGCGCAGGCGGCAGGCTAGCTGCCTGCGCCGCGCGCGCGTCCACCAAATCAGCTCTGGCCTGCTGCAGCTTGGCAGCCACATCAGGCACGACGTTGGCGTCCATCTGCTGGTAGGTGCTGACGAGAAGTTCGAGCTGCTCGATCTTCTTGTCTTTGTCGTTGGCGGCGGGCGCCTCTGACGTGGGCGCGGCCGTGTCCTTGCCCTTGCCCGTGCCACGCGAGCCTTTCCCGTGGCCAGGCGCTGCGCCTGCAGCTGGGCTGCCTGCTGCTGGCGGCTGGGCTGGGATGGCGGCCGCTGCGATGGCGGTGACCTGCTTGGCGATGGCGTCCAGCTGCTGCTTGGAGAGCCCTGCGGCGCCGCCTGCGCCGCCCGCGCCCATGCCGCCGCCTGCGTTCTTGCCACCGCCCTTGCGGCGACGGGCACCACGCTGTGGCTGATCACCCTTGTTGTAGAAGAGCCCGCAAATGTGACACCACAGCTTGCTGCTAGCCATAGGTGTCCAAGAGCGCGGGCCACACTTCTCACACTGAACCCAAGCCGCTGGCCCTGTGGCCTTCGCCATTGCGGAGGACGGGCCGTACTGGCAAACTGCTTCTGAGCGAGAATGTTGCGACAGAGTGTGGCACCGCCTGGTGCTCACAGCAAACGAGATGCTCGCAGGCTGACCCCAGGGACGCGGGCTGGGCCAGTCCTGGAGCGAGCGGTTGGCCCTGCGCCACCTCGAGAGATGGCAACTTGAGCCAAAATGGCTACGGAATCCCGCGAGCGCGCCTTGGCACGCCAAGGGGTCGTTGACTGAGCTCATAACCGACGCCGTCGCCCGCGCCGGCAGAAACAAGCGCGCGCGCACGCGCGCAGCGTCGTCAGCGGAGGCAAGGAACGCTGGGTCCAGCAGTAAGTCGGGCCTGTCCCCCTACAGGCGGATTTTGGGCGGAAAATAAAAAATACTCCAAAATTGCACGAAAATGCTTGAAAATCGTCCAAAAAAAAACGTTCCCCGACGATTCTTTGACTATTTTTGAATATTCCCCCTGTAGAGGGACAGGCCCGACTTAAGTCCAGTGGCTCAGTCTCCTCGGCGCCCGCGAGGAGGTCGATCCCACGCCGCTGCGCCGTCGGGCCACGGGATGCAACGCGCTGCTCCTGAGCGCCCAGTAGACAGATCCTACAGTCGGGGCGCTGACCCACAGGAACCCCAAAGCAGGAACGAGGCCTCTTTTCTCCAGAAGTTAAACTTCGATTTCACATGGAAAACCATAGGAAACCCAAAGCAAACTGCAAAACAATCAAGGAACACCGAGCCCCTCCCCAACGGAAAGGGTTCCTTCTTCAGCGCCCCAACTGTATCTCCCCGGTGAGAAAGTGAAAAATTGAACTGCCCATTGACATTCTCGCAAAGCTCCGACATCAGGCACAGCAAGCACAATCCCGCCTGATCCAGAGCACCACAAACTGCCGCATGCCAAAATCGACCTTCGCCAAATCGCGAACCAGCGTCGCGAGCGATGGAAAGGCTACGATTGGCAAGCATGGAAAAAACTGCGCCCTTGCGGTCGCGGACGCGTCGTAGCCCAAGCTGCCCAGGTCGCCGGGAGAGGGAGACACTGCGCCTCTACGGGCGTTTTCCCGAGTCGTCCGGCCGCACGGCTGCAAAAGGAAGTGGATTAGAGATTACGCCGCGCAGGAACGGCACACGTCGGAAGATTAAAAGCCCTGAAAGAAAGGCATAAGACCGAAACAAATCGCTTCCAGGGAATGGCAACCCCGTGCGAAAGATTCCAAGATATGGACTTCGCCAGGGGAACCAATGCTCTTGAGGCAGGTGCGAGTGCTGGGTGGGCTCACTCCAGGTGCTTCCAATCCGAGACCGCGGCACCCTGCGATAAGTGCGTCCGCAAGGGCAGAAAAATGTGCAAACGATTTCCATGAAGGGGCCCTGGGACACACAAATAAATGCACACAAATAAAAATATTCCCCATGTTTCCCAATATTTTCTGGGTTTTTGTCTTCCCACACACTTCCCATATTTTCCTATATTTTCTGGGGGGGGTCGACGATTAATTGTGTCTGTGTGTTTCTTTCCCTCCTGCTTCCAGGCGTGAAGACCACAGTGGGGCTGTTCCCCACTTGCCCCCGCCATTCTGAGACATGCATAGCACTGGGCTTTAGAAAATCTCCCTCGCGCAGCCCAGGCCCCGCTGCGACAAGGGAGCGGGGAGGCTCGTGCAATCCGGCCCGCCGGCGCCGCACAGGAAGCCCCCAACGCACGCGTGCCAGCTGGAAGTGGCATCCACCCCCGTGCCACCCTCGCCTGAGGAGAGCTGGAGCCTGCTGAGGAGGCCAGAAGTCGTAGGCAATGATACAACCGCTCCCTTGTGCCGTTGCACCTTCTGGGGCATGTACATGGTGCCTAACACACGATGCA